AGAGCAGCTTGCTCCAAGCCCCTGTGTCCAACCTGGCCTTGAGCACTGCCAGGGATGGGGCAGCCACAGCTTCTCTGGGCACCCTGTGCCAGCGCCTCAGCACCCTCACAGGGAAGAGCTTCTGCCTAAGAGCCCTTGTCAATCTCCCCTCTGGCAGGTTAAAGCCATCACCCCTTGGCCTGTCACTACAGGCCCTTGTCAAAATCCCTATGGTGTTATGGTAAATGAAATGCCCAGCAACCAGAGCGGGAGACCTCAACACCATCTGCAGTTTGAGACTGAGGGAACAGTTCATATTAAGCACGGCAAGCATTTTCTTAAGCAACAGAATTAGCACCTTCTCTCCACTCCTGTGTCATATTCAATCACCTAAATTCCCTCTGTTTCTTTCCACCTCAACTTCTGCATCATTTACGCAACCGGGAATGAGAGTTTGCTCTTTATGTTGCAAGAGCAAATCCATTAACATTTGTGAGGCTGAGATAACAGGTAATTGGGTGGGTCAATTCACATTATTTTTGTCTTCAAAAACCCCCAAACCTAACAGCCTTTCTGTTCTTTTACAATCCATAACTCTCAAAACCGATTTCCTCCTCACAGCAATCTTAATAGTAATTAAATGAGCTTTTGTCTTCCAACACCAGTAAAGATTAAATACTACATAAAACAGCTGCAGCAAAGCCCCATCCAAAGTCCAATTTAACCTGCTAGCTGGTTCCCAGATGGTACCCCGAGTGCTGCAGGGCTGGAAAGAGGCATCTCTGAAGTTACCTGAGGACTTGTCCTTCAGCCCCAACACATTACAGTGGGGTGCTGACTAATGGAGCTATTCAGCAGGTTTTTGCTTGTTGGACTCAACCGACCCACCCAGCCAAATGTGGAAAATACAAAGAAAAAGTCAGGAAATACATTATAACCTAAATAATCTATTGTTTGGGAACAGTGGGGTCACAGTACTGTCAATGGACTCACTGACCAAGCCACAAAGATTCAAGTTGCTTTCCTCCCTGGTGAGATATACAAAGTAATGCCAGTAGAAAAGCACGACAACCTCAATGTCCATGCTCAGGTGAATGTCCCTCCTGCTCAAAGCTGCTTAATATGCACTATCTGCTTGCTTGGCTTCTTGAAGAGGCACAGATGCAAGAGTGCATTTAATTGTTTTCCTGAATCAGACCCCCGGAGCCATCAGTATCTCACATATGTAATTATAAATTATGAGTCTTGCAACCAAAGTACAATCAGCACATCTAGCTATAAATCTTCCAGATATCAGCAATTTCTCCAAAGCTACTTTTTGGCAAAACCTGATGTAGCATGAAACTAGGAAAGTCGGGCAGAAGAAGACATTGGCATTGAAGTTCACAGCCCACCAGGGCTGCACTGATGGACAGGCTCCAGACCACAAGAAGCCCCCAAAAACTCATGTTCTGTCATGGAAAACGTCACTCCTGGAGATAACGAAAAGGTGGATCTCCCCTGGGATACCCCGAGTCCATCCATTTCCAGTTTCATTTCCAAAGACCTTTTGTGCAAGGTGTCAACCTTCTTCCATTTTGTTGATGCAGAGGTTTTCTGGACTCTCAGTAAACTCAGATTAATGTGTATCATTAATAACAAAGATTCGGCCAAATCCTGGCTACATCTCCTAGAGCAAAGCATGGCCAGGTATGTAATGCAAGCACGTATTCATTTATATACACTCATTAGCATCATCTGAACTAGGAAATCAAAACATCTCTGCAAGAGCTCATGCCAGTGAAGATCAGGATCTATATGATGACCCTTTCAAATGTCACTTACTGTCTGCCTCATCTGTGGGAGCTAATTTCGACATGATACATTACGCCGGAATCATAATTTTATCTTCTGGGCAGAGCCAGTCAGAGGAAGTCTGTAAGCCTGGCAAGGGAAGTCTAACTGTGAAATGCATGCACAACTGAGCGCTGAGATTGAGGGTATCTTTGTGCATCGGGATTTTAAATGTTAATGGGGGAAAAATACAAAAGAAGACGTGTTACAGAACCCAGGTATTAAAGCAGCATCCCTCCAAGGCATTGAGAGAGACTATTTCTTGCAGGGAAATTACTGGATAAAGCAGGAGCCTGAAACCAGTTTGAGACTGGGCCATAGTTTAGATGGGTTTCATGCCATCAGCTCTCTTTGCCTGGATAATTACATCTTGTGAATTATCCATGAGAGAAAATTGCCTCCAAATGTATTCACAGAGCTGTCTGTCTCCAGTCTCTGCTGCTGAGTGTTTGGTAGAGACCAACCCTTACGAGCACACTGGAACACCTCTCATGGGCAGGGAACTCCTCTTCTACGGCTGCCATAACCCCCATACACCAAGTAAAACCCAAGAAGGAATAAACTGCTTCACTTTGCTCCCACTCTTTCATCATAACAAGCCCCTAAAAAACCTAATGTATCTCTGTGTACTATAATTTCAGGATTTCCTCTAATCGCATACATAATTACATGGAGCACTGCACTAGTATCCCTTTCATGCAAATACTGCTATAAAATGCACAGTTTTCAGAGCATTATATGACAAAGAAATAACTGTAGTCATTTGTTTCTGGTCTGTATGTGGTTACACAACCTAATGCAATGAGACAGTATTTTTCATTAGGTTTTTGTTGTGGACACTCCCCATTTATCTTTCTCAGAATCCTTCCCCCAGTGCATGTTAACAACGTTATTTTAGGAAGTTGCTTCATTATTAAACATCACTGGGAGCCTGCGGTGCTTGCTGCAGAAGCCCTCTACCACACATGGCTTTGGAGGCAGTGCCCTTCCACGCTGGCTCCTAGTAATCCCTGAGCTCCAATTCCCACACACCATGGCCTCAAGCAGCAGCGTTCACATTAGAGATGCCCTTAATAAAGCCAGAATGGATGGTCATGACATATATCTTTGCAGCTGCCAGTCAAGTATCTCCATAAGCCTCCTCTGATCTCTAACTCATTGGTGGCTCAACTCAGTAGCACTTAAGAGCTGAACAGGCAGATCCCTGGGATGACAAGGCTGCAGAGGACAGAGGGATCACAGGGCATCCACTCCTCCTAGGTTGCCTCCTAAAAGGGATGTAACTGGTGCAGAAACACTGCAGGAAGCCCCAAGCAGATGGGTAAACCTCTCACACTTCCAGCTCCCCCTGAACAGTAACTTCTTGCAATCTGCTTAAATGCAGAAATACAATGCTCAATATCCCATTCACACTTCAGCACTATTCATAGGGTTTATTTTTATGATAAAACAAGCACCAGAACAACCTAATACATCATTCTGGCCAACAGAAGACAACTCCCAGAGCAAACCCTTCACACAGCAGTAGATAAGAAGTACATGAAACCCCCAGGCAGCACTCAGAGCTCACCAATACCTGCTGCCTCCCAGGACCGAACCAAGGAAAAAAGTGTGTTGCTAGATCTGGATTTGTGTCTAAGTGTCCATCATCCGTGTGTCCCCATTTACACTCCTGGTCTTGGTGACCACCTTTGTTAACTGGTTTGTATCTAGAAAGCATGGGCAAAGAGCCACATCCTGAAACCCTGACATTCCCCTTGCATTAGGTAGTGACCTTCCCACTCCACCTCTCCACAATAACCCAACCCTTCAGCTCCTCACAGCTTTCCTCCTCAGTCAATCACTCTTCGCTTTCTCTTTCCCTTCTTTTCTCCCCTACCATCAAACACTAACTTCCACAAAGAAACCTATCCCTGCCCATGTGTCTTTGCCACAGCCTGCCCTCCTTAACAGTTCCCCCCAAGCACACTGAAACGGAAATTAAAACCACATGCTAGGAGGACAACAGAACAGAAGGACATGACCTATGTTTATATGTTATGTTTGGGTGGATTGTTTCCTCGATGCACCCTGCCCAGTTTTTGGATCACAACAAGCTCCTAGGGTATGCTGCAGTCACAGGGGACTCCAGTTTGGGCACTGGAGCTGTGTAGGGACTGACAGCACCACACTGCTCACCCTCACTTGCAGAGGCTTTTGAATTCCTCAGCTTCCCCCTCTCCATGCCCCAGCCATTCAGCCCCTCCTTTAACAAGTCCAGCAGCTTGCATTTGGTTAAAATAACTGTTTATTCCTCAAAGACTTGATTCCTGCCCAGAATAAATTGTCAACTCCTCCACTGATGGCTGAACATGCTGTCTGGAACAAGGGAGCCCATAGGAATAAAAAAGATCTCTGTGTAAATGGAAACAGACCTAATTTGCAGGGATTATATCACTGCTTCAGAATTTGGATCAGGCATGGATTTGCACATACGCATCTGTTAGATGCTTGAGGACAAGCCTTCTCCGTGTTAACCAAGTTGGGAACAATATATCCTGTTCACCTGGCTAGAAAACTACTCCTGGTCAGAGATAGCATCTTACATGAGATTTAGGGTTTGTCAAGGGAAAACCACTTATACACTCATACAGAGCAGCACTGAGCAATTACCTCCCCTCCTCCTTTTGCTTTGTCCCAGTGGGCTTGTCCCACACCTGAAGGCTGGAGGAGCTGGGACAATATCTCAGCTCTGCCAACCCTGTGAGCTGGTGACAGAACAAGCCAAGATACAAGCTTGCCCTGAGAGAAGATGTACTTTTTATACATGAAAAACCCATGCTGTATTTCATGAATACACATTCAGTTCATTACACAGGAATAATCATCTCATTCCTTATGATTTGCAAAACCTTAACATGTAATTAAGGTAAAGTGAGTTTGTTATATGCATTTAAACGTAAGACTGCCCAAATCTGCACAGTTCCTACACTCCCCCAGTCTTTTTGCATATTGCCACCAATAATACCCCTTTCCAAGCTGCATCACCCTAACAAAACCCTTCCCAGCTTGTGTTCCAGCCTCTCTGAGCTGGCTCGTGCCGTGATGCTGCATCTAACCCCTCCAAGCTTCCTTGCTTGATCTTCCTGCCTTGTGCCTTATTGGATCCCAGTGACAGAGAGCAAGCGGCTCCCAGAGTCTTGCCATACCTGATGGGCAGTGAAGGGTCTCCAGCATCCCACCAGTCCTTGGGGGGGCTGATGTACATGCACCACAGCTCCCAGCTGTACCCATGGGCTGAGTTCTCATAACGCTGCACCTCAAAGTTGTCCTGCTTGATGTTGTCTATGGAGGGAAGAATGACCCTTCTCCGGTTTTCCTGAATCCGTGAAAGCACTGGCTCAGCCCTGAAAGGAAGCAAAGCATGGGAATAGATGGTTAATTGCTCCTATGATTTGCAGATGGACACTGTAGCTTTCATACAGCTTGTGCACTTCAATGAGGGTAAGAAAACTGGCATTCTTGCTATCATTCAGTAAACAGAATGGAATAGCACCACAGAATCATTTGGGTTGGAAGGGACCTTCATAAGTCATCTTGTCCAACCCCCCTGCAATGAGCAGGGACATTGACTAGACCAGGCTGCCCAGAAACACATCAGCCTGGCCTTGAATGTCTCCAGGGACAGGGCATCCACCACCTCTCTGTGCAAGCTGTGCCAGTGTTTTACCACCCTCACTGTACAAAACTTCTCACATCCAGCCTGAATCTCCCTCTTTCAGTTTAAAACCATCATCCCTCATCCTGTTGCAAAAGGCCTAAAAGTCTCTCCCCATCTTCTTATGGGCCCCTTTAAAGAACTCAAAGGCTCCAGTAAGGTCTCCCTGGAGCCTGCTCCAGGCTGAACAGGCCCAGTTCTCCTGTCTCCCATTCACAAGTGGCATCACGTCTTCACAGAGACACAGCAAAACCCAGCTAGAGCCTGGACTGTCAGGAGGCTCCTCACAGAGTCAGTAGTGACCCCAGGTTTCAATGCCTCTCTGTCAACCTCCCACTCGTCCGTGCTTCCCACCTGGACACATCCCTTGCGTGTAGCTGCCACTGGAGATTTAGTGCTCTCCTAACTCAACCAACTAAACAAATTCATGGGCCAGCTGAAGCTTTCAACACAAGGAAAGGATTATTTTCACAAACAAAGGTTTTAAGCTGTGGAAATGAATTAAAGCCTCCAAAAATGGACCTCATCTTTTCCTGCAGAGCCAGTACACCACCTTTTCTCTGGTGTGCTGGTTTAAGAAATCATTATTAAATAATAATTCCATATTCTGAACTTTTCAGTTTTCAAAAAGTCCATGTTTTTAAGCTCAGCTTTCCTGACCTCTTGGCTGCAGCAGCAATGAAACCAGATGATACATCAGCTAGGGGCCAGTTCTGCAGCACAGCCCAACTGTGCAGCCAAGAACAGCTCAGGGAAGGTGCTCATAGCTTCTGGCTACGGTTAGCGTCATAGCATGAGTCTGGCCACAACATGGCTCCTCTCACATCCTTCTGTTCCACCTGGGTAGTTATGCTGTGTAAAGCTGCGATGTGCATCTGCAAGGCAACTACAGACCAAATCCTGTGCTGTCATGCACAGGTGGACATCCTGAATGAAGACGTGATCCACAGGCTGGGAAGCCTGGCTTGAAAACTTTCCTTCTGTAAAGCAGGGCCATGAAGGATGTGCTTTGTTTAAACCATGCTTTAACTAGTCCAGACTTATCCCAAATCCAAGAAAACAACCATGTCCCTGGACAGAACAGGGTAAACAGCAAGACTATCAGAAGGGTCTTTTTTCCAGTGGGACATACAGACTCTATAGCTGCAAAATTAGTCTCTGGAACATACAAATGTGCTCCAAGCAGGGTTCAGCCTGCCAACACCAGGAGTAACTTGCACTCCTGGTGCCTCCAGTGACAGCAGTGGGTACATTACACCACAGTGAGCCAAGCCCACACTGCAGAAAAGCTCACTATGGCTAGAAAGGATGTTTTAAGAGCTCAGTAGATGGGGGATTCCTCTGTGTATCAGTAAAACCAGGCATGAGGACTTACTGACCTGAAGAGAGGAACATCTAGGTGGGAGTACAGATAACATAAGGAACAGATCAAGGACACCCTTTGGTTCCATTGTTGCTACAAAGAATTCAAGAACCGCACATAACTGTTACCAGTTGCTAAAGCATTTTTCTTGTGGATGTTACTCTCTGTTCAAACTGTGAACAGCAAAGCAACCTGGAAAATGAAAACGGGGCAGGAGTTGTGCAAGCATAGGAGGAGAGAATATAAAAGGATTACAGAAAGGATTTCCTTGTACATTCCCATCCTATCTCGTCAGTGGCCATTCAATAGAGAAGGAAGACAGGATTACTAAACCAGTGGACTTGTTTGCAAACCCATCCCTACAAAGTGATGGACCGTCCCTTGTTTAATGCAACTCCTTGAGGTTGAGCACCTACCAGCCAGCAGTAAACTCCACGTGAGCATCAAAAAACCCAGTGATCTGGCCAGTGGCAGCTTTCCAGCCTTCGATACGAGCTCGGATAAGACCTTCCCTCTTCTGGTTGCGCACCACCTTCACGAGGCCTGGGTACCGCTTATTGACATACTCTTCTAGTGGCGCCTTCAGTTCCTCTAGAGAAGAAAAGTCAGAGAACCCACTGAGAAGGTGCAACAGTTTTCACCTAAAATAAACCCATTTTAATAAGTTTCTGAGCATAACTTCATGGAGCCAACACATCTCTGAACACCACTGGGAGGGATATAATCATTTAGGGTCAATCAACGCTGATTTGCAAAAGACCACCCGATGGTAGACTGACCACAGCCTATACAAAAGAAATCAAAGGCTGCCAAGAACATTGCTAAGGCAGGCAAATGACTAAGGGAGTCCAAATACGGTATCTAGACACAAAGGGCAGCAAGAGGCCAACTAGATTGCTTTGCAATATCTAGGCATCACCCCACTGAAGGACAGAATAAAAAAGTCACCTGTGGATACCAAACACCAGTGCTCAGAGTCTCTGATGGACATTTTAGCTAGAAATGCTGCCAAACCCACCTGAAATAACTTAAACTACATCAAAACTTAGTATGAGCTTCACTATCCTTTTTACTCAGCCTCACTACTACAGGCTTAGCATTTGCTGTATGTTCCCCAAGCTTTGCCACTAGAAAAAGCTTAAATTCCCCCTGCTTTTATGATAGGATGAAAGAGACAGGGGCTTTGTTCAGAAGATCATCATACCATGCATCTTCTGTCCACTGGAAACTGCACATCATTTAATTATGTTGTCTAAGTCCCTGTATGTACTATGGCTGAGAACCTAATGGATCTGTCAGCCTGAACTTATTACCAGCATTAAACATTTTCATAGTCACAAGTGTTTAGTATAAAAGACACACAGGACTTTGAGTGTGGAAGCATATGAAAGGTTACAACAAGGGGTAAGCTCCAGTATGTAGTTTCAACAGTTTGGAAAAGTGCTAGTGCTCTCCCAGAAACCTTGCTCCTTTTACCTCCTGGGGCAGCAGTTAATGCCTGAAGATCTACTGACAACAGGAACTCTGTAGAAGCTAAGCAATACCACTGTGTACCAACACGGACTCTTCAACACCATAAAAGCAGCTCCTGACAACGTCTTTTAATCCCTATGAGGCTCCAGGACAGCAGAAAATTAAGATATGGTCCATGATCCCAGATTATAGTCTGCTACACTTCACATATACTGTCTTTCCACAAAAAAAATTGTATTAAAAAGTCACCATTAATATAATTCACATGGTAAGATACTTGACACATGAGCACATGCGGGTTCCCACATAAAGGGAACAAGGCAGTGGAGAGCAGAAGAGTAAATGGCAAAGCCCATCTACTGGTCTTAGTCCAAGATATCAAAGGAAAGGGGATTATCTGTTCCCTTCCCTTCCTTGCCTTCTTCCAAGCACAGGAACTGTGCTTTCTTCAGACTGTCTCTCTGGGACGGTTCCCTTCACACATTAATTTCCCAAAGGTCTCATTTCTCTTTTATGCTGAAGTGGGAATAAAAAGAATAAAGCAAATGAGCCCCCTCCTCAATTCAAAGGATCTGCATCACGCACACCCATAACTCAGCAACTTGGATTCCATGCTGAGCCACTGGGAGAAAAAGAAGTATTTTATGGAGACAACTCTCCCAAGTGGGTTTAAGGAGACAGAGACATAGATTTTTTTTGACAGTTAAAACTCCACAAGCACAGCAGCAACATCTCACGTGGCTTTATCCAAAGGTAAGTCATCAATGCTGCAGACCCCTGCGTTACAGGCTAGACTGGAGAATTAAAGCAGCTTGCAACCAGGATTTTTAAACTCAATTGAAGGAAAACAGGAAAAATCTCCCAAGGAATTGTTTGAGCAGCTCGAAGGAGAGCATAGCTGTACTGACACAGGGAAGAACTGTAACATCACGGCTTAGAGGCAGACAAGGGTGAAGCCTAAGAGATTCCTATGCCCACCACACTGTGTAACAGGTAGCTCACCAGGAACTCCCAGGGGGAGGGGGGGCACAGCCACGTCCTCTTCCTCACTGAAAGGATGCTGGACGCCAGCAGGTGAACAACTAATCTTAGAGCATGATGGCCAGTACTGCACACTCGTGCACCTACAACCATGCACTGATGGGTTATCTGAGTGGGTACATCTACGTGGGATATACAACCAGTAATTTGGTCAAAACTACGCACTACAATGGAATGAGACTCCTCCGTTTTCTGTACCTATGGCACTCCCCCCTACACTTGTGCATCCTGTGAGGAAGCCCACTGGACCATCCTTCGGAGCACACCCACATCATTCCTAAGTCAGGTTTACTAAGCATGCAACCAATATTTGCACATGGTATTTGTGAACAGAGGTCTTTGCCATTGCATGAGCTACTTCCAAGGAAGCTTTCCGGAGAAAAACCCTATTGAAACTTTCATGAAGCTCAATTTCAATCTTGCTTTTGTTCTCCATCTGTCCTTATTGATCTTCATTGAAAGGCAAGTCCAAGGAACTAGAATCCAATAGACCTGTTGCTCTATTAGAAATCCCATCTGCAATGACTTATGCTGTCTATTGCAAAGTATTCTGTCACCAACATGAGCTTTCTGGGAAATAGGCCTGCCAGAGAAATTGAACCACCTGATGCCACTGAAGGTAACCTTGTCACGGACATTAGCCCAGAAGCAGCAGCAGGAACACCCACTGCTCAGTGCTGCAAATCACACACCCTGCCTGAGCTTCCCCATATCCTGTTGGGGTCTCCAGAATGAAAGGTGGGAACTGCCTGTTGCCACACTAAGAAAGGAGCAAAGACCAATGGTACCAGTGGAGCTCAAGGAACTACTATTTCTTATACAATGCCCAGGTGGCCCCAGGCAATGGACTGCATGTCCTCTACACCCCTAAAGAAAACACTGGGGTGTTTGCAAGGCTGAGCTGGGTGGGAAAAGTCTACAGAGCCCAAGGCTGTTATCAGAAACAGTGAAGGCTGAAGGACACAGGAGTCAAGGCTGGGAGCGGCCCAGTGCCATAGGAGACATCAGTCCTCCCATGTCCCATGCTCTCGCCTGCCTGGAACACCCAAGCTATCACAGGTTGGATTTCTGCACCATGAACTCACAAAAGAGACACCTTAAGCAGGCAATAAATGAATACAGGAACTTGTGCAGGAAAGACTTGCAACCAGGTGAGTCTCCAAAGCTTTTTTGCCTGCAAATATTGAAGAGGAACCTGTGAAGAGGGGAGCGAGTGCATGAACCAATCCTCAGACAGGGCTGCAGGCAAAGCTCCTTCCATAGAGACAAACCAAGCAGGTTTGTAGCTCCCCTCCATGCTCTCACAGGGCCCAAAAGCCTCGGACATGAGCACCAGTAGCACAGCACCAGGTCAGCTCCAACTAAGTATCACATCTTCAGCTTGAGCAATTGGAATAATTCGGCACTTGGGTTGGACCAGATAAGGCCAGGCTGGACAGGGCTTGGAGCAACCTGCTCTAGTGGAAGGTGTCCCTGCTTGTGGCAGAGGGTTGGAACTGGCTGAGCTGTAAGGTACTTTCCAACGCAAACCACTCTGTGATTCTATGACCAGCACAAAGGAAAGGCTGAGACACGACTCAACCTCTTGCAGTCCTGTTAAAACCTTCCTCTGAACACAAACACAAACCATGAGTGAGGTGGCTCCTGGGACAGGAGCACACCCGAACCACTGCTGCTGTTGAAACGAGCAGCTAAACGCAAAAGCAATAGATCAAGTCCCAGCTACTATCTTACACTGAGGTAAATTACAACCGGTAGCATGTCTCCCCAGTTGTAGCCATCTCCTCTAAGCAGTCTTTTATCCCAAGGTTTGCTTTTATACGGAGAGGTTTGCTTTTCAAAGAGATATTAGCCCCGATTAAAACCACTAAAAGATGGGGAAAGAAAAAGCAGCAGGTGATGATGAAGCAATAGTCTCAAAGTGTGTGGCTAGGAGATAAGGAACACCTCAGGGGCACATTGCTGCATCCCTCCAACAACCCAGGAAATGTGTTATCACTCAGAAACACAACCTGCAACAAACACAAACAAAAGCAGCCTCCAAAAGGAAACCTTTACCAAGTGTAATGTGCAGCTCCAGGGAGAAGGGGGTTTAATCTACAACTCCCAAAGCTTTTTCCTTCAAGGCTGGATCTTTTTTTCCCCTCCATTACATTAGTATCTTTAATCTATTTACAGCTCAGATAGAAAGAATCAGATTGTGTTTGTTACCTTTAATCTCTCATTGCACACTTTCATGTTGCGCAGTGTTATTGTACATACCATGTTATAACAAAGCTAAGAGCAAGAAGTGTCTAACAAGTCTTCAGAAGCAGCATGCTCCAGTCTGAAAGCTACAAGACACCAAAAGGGTTTGATCCTGTCTGTGTAACTGGTTAGTGGTCTACCCGAAGGGCAAACACCAGCAGGGGCTCACAGGACATGCAGTTACCTCTGCCCCTGGGATTAATTCTAGAACTTCCAAGTTGACTTGGAAAACCCAGATGTCTTCTAGTATTTGGTTAGGGAACACGCTTTGCTCTTTATTACCCACACAGCTGTATTTCCTCCTCACACCTCTGTAAAGCACTCCCTGAAAAGCCAACCCAGAACCCCACAGCAGCCCTGAGCCATGGACTTCCTCTAGCAACTTCCCCAGAAGCTGCTTCTGGTAACCCATGGGGGTACAACACAGACTGGTTTGCACAGACTAACAAACTGGTTTGGGTTGGAAGGGACCTTAAAGCTCCTCCAGTTCCAGCCCCCTGCCATGGGCAGGGACACCTTCTACTAGACCAGGTTGCCCAGAACCACATCCAGCCTGGCCATGAATGTCTTCAGGGATGGGGCAGCCACCACCTCTCTGGGCAACCTGTGCCAGGGTTTTGCCACCCTCATTGTAAAAAATCTCTTCCTCACACCCAGCCTGAATCCCCCTCTTTTAGTTTAAAGCCATCACCCCTTGTCCTCAAGTCACACCTGCACAAGCCCATCTTCAACACCACAGCTTGATCGTCCAGGATCCATCTCTAAATCTTAGCACTCATGAGAAACTATCTTCCTGCAATTATTCTCCTGCGGAAGCTAAATCCACCTATTACGATGATGTTGTTTGTAATATCCAAAGTATCAACTATATGATGTTGCTATTGCTGCTGACAATTATTTCCTACCATTAGTGGGAACTATATGACAATGTTATTGCCATTAATAATTCTTTGCTGCCACTGAAGCTCCTTGGTGATGCAGAGAGTGAATGCACAGGTCCCAAAGCTATGTTCTGGTTTGTAACATTTCTTTTATGTGAGAAAACTAGATTATTACATGCTTGGGAGGAGGTCTCCAGAAGCATCTGCCGAGTTCCCTCATTATCTTCCTTTAAATCCCTCCTTAACAAAACCTTATTTTTCATGGTGCCTACAAAGACTCAACAGCACAGTACTGATATTATTAACCCTAACAGATAGTAGCATCACCTCATTCCCTATACGAGTTCTCCCTGTGTACTTCCATTGCAGGTTTCTGAGGACAGAGCCACCTTGGTGTTGTATAATCCCCAACACAACCCTGGCACATCACTCAGGACCTTGGCTGCTTGATGCATCCTCTTGGTGGGCTGCAGAGCGCACACTGCCTAAGTGTGCCAGCAGACTGGGATTTTCCCACCTCCTGCACATAATGGAGGAATTAATCCCTCAGTTTGGATCACCTCCCTGGCTAGGTGAGTGCCATAAAGTGCTCCAACACAACCCAGGAAGCTTGATCTGCCTGAAGACATAGTCACAAAGAGGGAATCCTAGCTGGAAGTGCTTGAACACACGACAAACTTAGGTCACCCACCTCACCACACTGTCACCATCCAGCCCCACCACCAGATCCCACCAGCACTGGCCCAGTCTTCCCAGCAAGCACAAAAGTCAGTGCCCTGCAATCTCAGCAGCAAGATAAGGAGATTTCAGTCTCTGAATCCTCCCTGCCAGCTGCAATCTCAGTTTACTGTGGGGTGATGCTTTTTGGAAGAACTTGTTTCCTTGTCCCAGGCCCTTCAGTAGTGTCTCCAGAGCACTTGACTCAATGTCAGCCTCACTGCTGCACACTGAACAATGGGTAGAGGCTGTTTAGAAAAATACTTCTTTGTGTGTGGCAATGAGAAGCTCAGTAATTATAACCAATGGGCTCTCTTTTAAAGCATGTTCTTCTCTTCACCCCATTGATGAGGTAAAATTTGGAGATGCAGCATCTCATTTTGGTGTTTCAGACCCTCCAAGTACTGGGCAATGCTAAATACTACAGAAACACATCACCTCTTCACTAGCCAAATAGTTCCAGCTCTGAAATCCCACAGCTTCACTGGTGCCCATCATCCAGGTTTCTACACTAGAGCTGCTGTGATTTCCATCAGCTGAGGAGCTGCCCTCCTGTTTCTTTTACTGGTAATTATAATTCATCAGCTTTCTATAGTGCTCATTACTGTGGTATTTGAGTGCCTATTTTTACAGGCTTGAATAGCTTGCTGTATACCATCTCATCTCGTGCAGACAGACAAGCAACCTCTCAGGCTCCCTCTGGAAATGAGCTCTCCACATGCTGCACCCTCCCTATTCTTCCCTCTCATCACAGCATCCAGAGAATATAATATTTTAAAACAGCATTAAAGCATGCAGAACAAATAAAGAAGAGTAACGAACTTTATTTTGATCCTGATCCTCTTTTGCTACAGAAGCTGGAGAAAATGGTGTGCCAGCCAGTATACCCACCACCCCACACCACATGCCTCTCAGCAGTATCACCACTCCCAGAGAATCACAGGGTGGTTTGGGTTGGAAGGGACCTTAAAGCTCATCCAGTTACAACCCCTGCCACAGGCAGGGACACCTTCCACTAGAGCAGCTTGCTCCAAGCCCCCGTGTCCAACCTGGCCTTGAACACTGCCAGGGATGGGGCAGCCACAGCTTCTCTGCGCACCCTGTGCCAGCGCCTCAGCACCCTCACAGGGAACAACTGCTGCCTAAGAGCTCATCTCAATCTCCCCTTTGGCAGGTTAAAGCCATTTCCCTTGGCCTGTCACTACTACAGGCTCTTTTCCAAAGCTCCTCTCCTACAAGAAAAGGTTTCTTGTAGCCCCCTGAGGTGCTGGAAGCTGCTCTAAGGTCTCCCCAGAGCCTTCTCTTCTCCAGCTCTCTCAGCCTCTCTTCATGCATCCTCCAGGAGATCTTAAGGAATTCAACACCCTCCTGGTGTTCTCCAGATCTGAGACCCCAGTGTCACTAACCTTCATCACTGTTGTCATCCACAAGGATAATCTCCTTCAGGAGGTGAGCTGGCGTGTGATTAACTGCACTGTGCACTGATCGCAGGATAACAGAGAGCGCTTCGTTCACGAAGATGAAGATGATGGAGATCTGGGGCAGGTCCTTGCCATATTTCAGCTCCTTGCACCTGTAGTACAAAGGACAGAGAGAGAGATGGGGTTAGCAGAGCACACAGAGCAGCACACATTTAATACCCAGTGCATGACAATGGTGACACCTCACAGCTTTGCCCAGCCACAGTGTTAGAGCTGCCTGTGCCTAGTTGCAGTTGCCTACAACACAACAGCACCATCAGAAAGCATCCTACAGGCTCAGAGTACCAAGGGCATGGTGCAAATCCAGAGTTCCCTTAGCTGAGATTGTGTTCACACATCTGTGTGGTTTGTTTGTGGGGACGTAACAAAAAGCAGCCTCCAGAGGAGAGAAAATGGCTTTACCATTTCAAGTGAAACTCCACATTCCCATTCTGTTTTAAAATTGACAGGAGCTCAGAAACGAGCCTTGCGCTTAAACAGCACTTGTGAATTTTCTTCCCATTCACTTTGGAATGAAAGAAATATGAAATGGCCCTTGGTTAAACAGCCTTAATAAATGTTTTAACTCTTTGCAACTACTTCTGAATACATTCCTGCCTCTGGAGTACCCCAGGAGAGCTTTGCCTTGAACTGGTGTCTTTGTACTTCACAGCCAGGATAGGTTTAAAACAAAAACTTGTCATCAAAAACCTGTTTCAGGAGGAGCTGTTTAACTTGAGCTGGGTTTGTGGCTGCGTATCTGCTTAGACATATCACAGCAGGATAAAAGCGGAGGGAGCTCCCATGCCACCTACCAGCCAGCTCCATCCCTGGCAACCAACAGGTTCGTATTACATCAATACACCAAACCTCGAGGCCACCGACACCATGGAGCAGAACCAGGGAAGCTCTAAGTGGAAGAGCTCCTCCAAGTTACCCACAGCTCTCCAAGGAGCACACATCACTCCTAGTGAGATACAGATACTGGTTTAATGCCACCTTTTATCCCAACCAGAAACCTGACTTTAATGAAGTACCTGCAGGAGGCAAACAGGGTATCTTTAACTACTTCCAACAATTTGATCAAACTCTCCAGCTTTCCCTACAATAAATCCATGCCAGGGAAGATGAAAACACAGCTCCTGCTCCCTCCCTGCACTCATGACAGATTAGACATGCAACATTAGCAGTGTTTGCAGAATTACAATGAATGTTTACCAAGTAAATCCTGCCCAGGTAAGAAAGAAAGACCAAGCATAGGAATGACATTGCAGTGAAGCTTCAAGCTCATTGACTCCCCAACAATGACTGTATTTAATTGTACTGGGTGTTTGTCCTGGGTTCAGCAGTAGCAGTTATTTTTCTCCTTCTTCGTAGCCGGTGCAGTGCAGTGTTTTGACTTTTGGCTCAGGAACAGATCTGATAACAAGGATGTTTTGGTTTGGCCAAGGACTTTGTGAGCCTCATGCTCTGCCAGGGAGGAGGGGAAGCCGGGAGGAAGCAGAGACAGGACACCTGACCCAAACTGACCAAAGAGGTATTCCATACCACAGCACGTCATGCCCAGGATGTAACTGGGAGTGAGCCGGAAGGGCCGGGAGTCTGCGGGGTTGGAGGAGGTATCAGTCGGTGCTTGGTCGGGCGGGGGGGGCGAGTTATCAGTTGGCTGGTGGTGAGGTGTTGTATTCTCTTCCCTTGTTATTTCCTTTATCACTGGTATCATTGGTGGTAGCAGTAGTGATTTGTGTTATACCTTAGTTACTAAACTGTTCTTATCTCAACCCGTGGGAGTTGCATTCTTTTCAATTCTCCTCTCTGTCCCTCCGGGAGTAGGGGGAGGGCAAGAAGGGGGGGAAGTGAGTGAACAATTTGCCTGACTGGGTTTAAACCACAACAGTGTTTCTTAGGCAACAGCAGGCACTCAGCAGCCTCCAGAATGAGGCTTGGGAGACAAAGATGTTCACCAAAACATGGTTCTTTTTGAATCTCCTTCAGTTAAAGAACTACACTGGATAAAACCGGTGTGTTTCTTGATTTAACTATTGCCTGCCCTACAGCAAACCAAGGTCTCCACGAAAGGGAACATTGCAACTGCTGAAAAGGATCTTCCAAAGGGAAAATCTCTCTTTAAAAGGAATGAAGCACCGTGATACGGTAAAGTGACAAATGACCCTGAAATCCAGCCAAGAAAGTCAAACTAAACTGACTCAGAGATTCAAAACCTGGTTTTGATATCTGTGGTACCTGCTAAGCTGCAGAGAAGGTGGTCAGAGGAGCAGGAGCATTTCCTTTTAATCACTGCACACCTCTGGACAGCCTTCCCCTGAGGCACGCTTCGGGGGATAAAGAGCTCAGTTTGTGATCAAAGAAGTTTGGAGGAAAATCCAAACCAAGCCCTTTGAGGTTCATCTCCTGCTCATTCTCATTCACTCTGCACCACTCTGGTCACCCTTCTCCTTTCCCGGATTGCAGAGGACAGGGTAACAAAGATACAGGAAGACGAGAGAAGTCAGGGAAGGAGCAGGCATGTGAAACACCCACATTGTTCATACGCACAAAGGAAATTCTCCAAAGGCAGGAGCGGGGAAGGCAAAGGCTTGGCATAAACACCGTGTGTGTGCTCTCCGGTGGCTTTGGCTGCACCACAGAAGGGAAGGCAGCAATTTAAAGGCAAGTGAATATCAAGTGTGTCAGTGCTCCACATACACGCTCCCTTCAGGTGCTGGCACACAGAGCAGCTGGGTTGAGTGATGCTCTCTGCCCACAGCCACGTGCCGTCAGGCTTCACCCCTCTGGGCCCCACCGCAGCTTCATTACTGGCAAGCTGACCTGTCAACAGATACCCATGCAGGAAAACCCCTGGTGCTCCTGGGCTCTCCTGGGGCCAGGGAGGAGAGCAAGGGACAAAAATGCCTGAGCTCAAAACATATTAGAAGGGCCAGTGGAGAACTTGTTAGAAACAACAGGAATAATGAGCACGCGAGATGGGAAGTCACGGGGGTTTGGTACCCTTTCTTCTAAGCATTTTAAATAGAAAAGGGACTGAGCTGGCTCGGTGGTTCAGCTTTATCGTTCAGAGCATTTACAGGCAGAAGCACAGAGGTTTGACTGGTTCACTCCTAGAAACATTTGAAACAGCAGTTGAGGGAGGATTTGCTGTCTCACAGCCCATCAGCAGCCAAGCTGCCAGGTGCCCACTGCTCCAGCTCACAGACCTCCAGCCTGCATCCCCACCCTGCCATACCCCAAAGCACAAAACCTTTCCAGTGCTAAGAGGCTCTGTTTTCTGTATAAGGTGGGAAGGCACTGCAGGCACTGCTGCCTTCAGTGTTTCAAACAGCCCAGAGGAACAGCACACAAAAGCCAGCACCAACCCGAGGTCCCAGCAGGAGCAGTGAAAACCACACTTGAGACATCTTCCCCTCTGCGCACAGATATCACCCTAGGGTAAGAAAGCATTCGGCTGCCTGCCAGACCTGCAAAATTCAGATCCAAGGATAAAATACATCTAACTTCAGGATTCCTTCCTCACCAGTTACCAAAAGGACACATTCAGGGCTGGAACGCGATTCCAGCAGAGCTGTGGTCCTCAGCTCACACCGTGGGCTGGTCTCTTCGGGGATTAGCAATTAATGAGATAAATGTGATTTTCTAGAAGGTTCTCAGGGGAGCTGGAGTCTTGGCAACACATGGGAGACAAGAAGCTCTAGGAATATACATGTTGTGCTGAGATTTCTGCAAAGCTTTTCTAGAACCCGAATGAACATCAAAGCAAAACCATTTCTAACACAGGCTGGAAAAACCCTGCAGCAGCTCCTGATGTCTTCTAGGAAGAAAATCTCAAGCTTCATTTCTAATGCTCAGCTCACGCTGTATCTGGTCTGCCCACAAGCAAGTCTCAGACTAGTAAGTGGATTTTCAAGGGAACAGGCCATATATTTCAGAACATTTAAATGTAAATGGAATACAATGGAGAGACCAGGACAATACATTCCTGTTGGTGTCAGTGATTAGATACCCACAGGGTTCATCACCAGCACCTCACCTTAAACTTAAAATCACCCACTTTCAGGTTTCTGTCATTACCAAAAGGTTATCTCAGACACTTTTTCCTCCCCATGTACCAGGTTCTCATCTCTACATACACTCAAGGCAGAGCTCCACGACAAAGGTCAGTCCACAGAAGGGCAATTTCTCATTGGAGAAAATGCTCCATCCCTGGCAGTGTTCAAGGCCAGGCTGGACACAGGGGCTTGGAGCAAGCTGCTCTAGTGGAAGGTGTCCCTGCCTGTGGCAGGGGTTGCAACTGGATGAGCTTTAAGGTCCCTTCCAACCAAACCAGTCTGGGATTCTATGAAAATTCAAGCAGGCTGCAACTGATCCCTCCCAGTCCTCTCTCTGGTAGATGAGAAGCACTCAACTGGTACAGCACGGACACTACTCATTGGCCAACACCTGTAAACTAATCAGTGCAGGTTACACATTACATCTGCCCCACTGAACTCCGCTCTCTCCAGTTAAACTGAGGCTGGTACTTGCTTGCAGGATTTATATCAAATATTGTGAATCAATAGCAAAAAGAAACAGACACCTTATAGCTCTGTCATTTAGATCAATGGGATATCAGAGTAAGAGGCATTTTATGTTCCATTAAATCAGGCTTGACTATGTCCTGTTAAATCATGCTCACAAAACTTTCAGTTTTGAGAGCCTGGGGAAACACTCCTAATGTTTGGTGTTGGGTTTAGTTTAAGGATCTTGCTGAGCTCTCATTGAGAAGTGAAGCTTGTCCTTAAGCAGGGGAAAAAGGGGCTTTACTGCATCCCTGGTCCGAGGCTCAGACACGTCTTTTGTCACTTCAGAAACAAATTGTTGGAACAACCACAGACACCAGACCCAGCACAAACCTCTGCCCAGCACACCCATGGACCAAACTCCAGTGTCCTCCCACAAGGGCACCAGGGAGGCAGAGGGGTGCAGGGGCCATGGCACCACTGCACTGTGGACACCATCACCTTCCTCATGTCCAAGACATGACGAAGATCAAGATGAAGCCCAAATCTGCCATCAGAATGTTAAAGGAAACACATGAAATAAAACATATTTACAGAGG